GTTCTGCAAAAGACCTGCAACATGATGATGGATGCATTCATTACACTTTTCCCTTCCAGAATTACTTACTGAAGAAATAAACACCATGAATCATAGAGCAATGTTCGGATAGAAATCCAAGAACAAAGACAGCAAATCAAATGGTTTGCCCACTTGGAGAGAATACCTTCTGATGCTATACCATACAATACATTTACCAAAAGAGAAACGGCACGTAGAACAAGAGGCAGACTAAGAGCAAGATGGGAAAGTAGCATTAGAGAAACTCGGCAGGACCATGATGTGTCTGCGGTCGAAGAGCCAGAAGAGCACGAAGCAGGACCCTTCTTGATTTGGTGACGTCAGCAGCTTGCCCTATCAGATGGAGACGGTCTTGGTTAACTCGTGTGCCTAGTACATTAGCGTTCGAGTGGTTTGTCATGTCAAAGGTGGGGTCACGATAATGGCGTGCATTTGTAGAAATGAGATAGCTGTTAGGACATCTTCATCTGCTGCCTTAGTACCCTCTGGATTAAGTCATGAGATACAAATATCTCTTTAGGCTCAAAATTCACCAGCACTTTCGGTCAGTGCATGTTTGCTCTGTAGTCTAAAGAAAAGATCCAAAAAAAAAAAAAAATAATATGGTAAGACAGTATATGTCAGCTTTATAAAACTACACACTCGTGGGGCCGCGTTAGCGCAGTCGAAAGGAGACTCGCTTTTAAATCCAGCTGCGACTCGCTGCAGCCCATGGCCGGTGTTCGAAACCGGGCGGTTCCCGGGGTTCACCCAGTCTCTAGGTAATGGGTACCAGAGTTGACACTCTGGAGTAAATGGAGGAACGTCGCTGTAGCTACGGAGCTACATGCGGACGGCGACACAGGTGGACAGTTTCTTATCAGCTGTCCGTACTAGTGGCAGAGCACTTATGGTTTATAACTGGGTGCAGTGACGTTGGTTTACACCTCCCGACTTTACCTTTTCCTTTTTTTTAAAAATAAAACCACTACAATAAACAACGCAGGGCGTTGCGGTGATTAGCCTTCATCAGCACAACAACGGCACGAAACAAAACAATTAACACTTTGTCATAAAGTGTGTTCTACGTAACCTTGAAGACTGAGTTTCAACGAGACATGTGAATATTGTGTATTAAACATAAAGTCGGTGTTTTTGGCTTGGGCGTTGCGAACGCGATTCGTAATGTTAGGGTGCGGGGTTGGATCTCATCTGCGGACTATCTGACAGCAGACCGACTTGCGTTGGTTTCGACAGTGGCATAGAGAGTTGACCATTGAAAAAACAGTGGCAAACTGCTAAACTTGAATTTGCCTAGAAAAATCACAACAGCCAAAACAATGCTGGTGGTAGTCCTGCAACGTCCTGTAAAGGATACTTCATGAACATTTATTAACACAAAATACGAATGGGAACATGATCATGTAGCTGGTCCTTTGCAAAACGTCGCTTTCATCTCGGTATGCCTGAGAGGAACTCGTTCTCTTGCCAGCCCTCCGCCTCGTGCACTTTCATATTCAATGAGACCTTCATATGCTTTGCCTATCTTTGTGTGGTCGGCCTCTGCCCCTCCTTCCTGGTACCATGCCTTCTGCTATCATTGTTTTTCCTAATCCGTCATGGTGATTGATACGACCCCAAACATTTTTCTGTTTCCAAGACACGATGCTGCTTATTAGCCAATCATCCTTGATGTTCAGATCTTTTAGCCAATCATTCTTGATGTTTAGATCTTTTAGCCAATCATCCTTGATGTTCAGATCTTTTAGCCAATCATTCTTGATGTTTAGATCTTTTAGCCAATCATTCTTGATGTTTAGATCTTTTAGCCAATCATCCTTGATGTTTAGATCTTATAGCCAATCATCCTTGATGTTCAGATCTTTTAGCCAATCATCCTTGATGTTTAGATCTTATAGCCAATCATCCTTGATGTTCAGATCTTTTAGCCAATCATCCTTGATGTTTAGATCTTATAGCCAATCATCCTTGATGTTCAGATCTTTTAGCCAATCATCCTTGATGTTCAGATCTTTTAGCCAATTTTCCCTGATGTTCAGATACTCATTTATATATTTTGCGTCCTTTTTAGGACAAAATTTTTTTTTTTTTTTTTTTTTGGAAGCCCTACTTTGGCTTTTGCCAGGGGCCGCAATATAGCCTGACCATAAATATGGCCTAAAGTCTTAACGCAGTTTCTTAGACCTCTCCTCAGTGATCCTCATCCACATGGTGGCACATTGTGTTTATCGCTTGTGTGATGTCCTGGTTGGGTAGAAAGTCAGTCAGTCAGTCAGTCAGTCAGTTATGTTAAGATATTTTAACATTAAGAAATTCCTAGTATATCTATTGTGTATCTTTCAAGTTCCCTGCCAACGATCGTAAGCTTTTCTCGATACATGCTCCTATTCCATGTTCCCAACTTACACGAATGGGATAGAAGTCTCTAAATAGATTTTATGCTACTAGGAACGTACGGTGTGTATCTGGGAAGTGAAAGAGTTAACTGACTCACTGGGAAAGCCCGCTCCACTATAACACCAACTCTGCTAAGGTGACAAAACCATGTCATTGTTTGACACAGCCTTTACTGACTAGCTTCAGATTAGCCCTCTGTCGGATTTTCGGGATCTCACTGTCAACAGAAGACAGTCCAAGGCAACAAAGAAATTAATTAGGTAGTGGAAAAGGGGGCAGGAGGAGCTAAGAAGGGGGCCTTAAGGGAACTTAGTTTTGTTTTAGTGCAGGCTGTAAAAGGGGGCCGGGGGAGGGGGGGGGGGTTGGGGAAATCAGCTCCCATTTCATTTTCTAGACTTGAGGCAGGGCTCAAGGCTTGGAGATTTCGCCTTGTTGAGGTGAATAGTTATTATCATTATATTTGTTTGTTTGTTGGTTTATTTACTCATACAACGCACCAACATGACATAGTTTGGTAACCTATAAGTGCCCCCTTCTATTTCTAGCTCAAGCCCAAGTCTAGAGAATTTCAGCGCAGTGCACCAACTCCGTAGCACCGGCGAGGATCCTGAAATACTTGAGTAGATTTTTAACTGCAAATTCTGCCCGGGCAGCGCCGTTATGTTACTCTTTTCGATTTGCAACTGCCAAGGGACTTTTTACATGCGCAACAATACACACTGGCGTCCAATAATACTACCCAGAGACCAGGGGAATTACTTGAAGTACACGTGAAAAATCCCAGCCTTCACCGGGGCGTGAACCCGGAACCTCCAGCACTCGAGGCGGACGCCATGTATCAAGACCACTCAGCTCCACTTTTTATTATTATTATTATTATTATTTTTATTATTATTATTATTATTATTATTATTATTATTATTATTATTATTATTATTATTTGTTGGATGGCAAATAAGTCCACGGATATGTTTCATGATAGGAAAAGTACATAGAAATACCTTTAAAGAGACTGTCTATACATGAGTAGGGAGAATGAAATATACACCTTGTACATTTTTTTTAGTGGCGACCAGGGAGTCTGCGTGGTCTTAAAGCATGGTGTTCGCCTCTAGTGCTAGAGGTTCTGGGTTCAATCCTCGGTAATTGCTGGGATTTTTGTCACGTGGACTTGGACCTAGTAATTCCCTATAGCTTCATGATACTATTGGCTTTTTGACTTTTAATTCAAAACGATAAAAGGATCCCAGTTTAAGCTAAGTACCAGGAAACGTTCTGAGAAGTAAAGGCGGCATGTGTGAAGTGGACCACATCACCCACTGAATGTCCATTGGTCTTTTAAATATATCAGCCAAATTTCCCAGCAAGTGCCGACTGGTCTGTAAAATATAGGTCTAGCCCTATTTGCCCAATACGCCTGAAGGTGGGAAAAAAGGGTCATTTACTTTACTAGTCAAATTTGTCCAATTCTTCAGTGGCGTTAAATGGTTTCTTAATTAACATTTTAAGATGTACTAATATAGAGCAGAACAGGTTCAATATAATAACAATTCAGTACTCACTTTCTGAGTAAACATCACAGCAGCGGGTAGATTTCCATAAGCGCGTCGCATCCCAGTTCAGAAGCCAGAACCAAGTTCCTATATGGTCAGTTCCCGTAGCAGCTGGATTATGTATCTGACATTTGTGAATGTTGAATATCGACCACATCCCCTTGACACTCATTGCTAAACCATTCTCTCACGAAACACTTGGTAATAAGAATTGATACCGAATTATCCCCCTTGATCTTGGTCGAGGTTTTAACTTCACTGTAATCGGGTTTCCCCATACATGCTACGTTCTTGTGCCAGTGAAAATCAAATAAAATGTCCCTCACTATCCCATTTGGAAAAAAAAAAAATAGCGAGCAAACATTTAATTCTAGTACAATCCATAAATTTACGTACGTGGTAAATGCATAAGGCACTTCCTAGAGGTGCAAAAGCCAACAGTCGTCACTAGAAATGCAGTTTGTCTTTGATGGCAGTACTCTATACACTGGGTATAAACGCGTAAAATATTACATAATCTTTTTCGCCAGCTCACGCATACACTGGCTATCTTTAAACCTTTGCACACATGAAAGGCATTCCAGATGAAAAACACAGATCACAGTGCTACACCAATCACTTAACTCAGTAGCTTAGGCAACGAAACCATAGACTTCCGTCCATATGTGGAAACTGCATTAGCAAGAATAACTTTAAAGCTAAACATTCTACAATGCCTAGTCCTCCTTATTTGGCCGGAAGTTCAATTATTGTTACCTCAAAATCGTGTCATAAATTGATCAAATCGTTTTCTTACGTAAGCCAGAAGTATTTATTATTTAATTTTCTATTACGATGAATGTAGAGAGAGTGTGTCACTATAGCATACATTGCAACGCGCAAAAATGAACATTATGAACACAGAACGATCTGCTGTTTCCTTTAGCATCCGTTAATTTATTTTGGGCGGGAAAGTAACAAACCAAAGCTGGATTAAACATGGATAAATCAGCTAGTACTAAACATGAAAAAGTCGTCGGAAATGAAGGCATGGGTGGCGACGAGGAAACCACGTATCAGGTGGTTATGAGAAAGCCGAAGGAGGTTTACAAACCTGAAAATACAGACAGTTACGACAGTAGCGATACAAATGAAGATGACAGCAAGAAAAAGAAACACGTAAAATGGAGCGAGTCAACTGAGATGAGGGAAAGACTCAAAGTTTACCGTCGAAGTCAGTAAGTGCTTGTTCAGTCTGTTGTTACTTTAAAAAAAATGTATGTAATATTGCTTCCTTTATAATGAAACTTTTTTAAAATACTTCCTTTATTTGGGTGAAAAAAAAATAATAAAGGACCTTTTCCCACGCCTTTGGGCGTATAGGGCATATAGGGCTAGACCTAAATTTTATATACCAATCAGCACAAGATGGGTGATGTGGTCAGCATCACTCCAGCTGCCTTTACTTCCCGAGACTGCACCCGGTACCCACTCAAGGCTGGGTCGACCTGGGAGCTAATGTCATTTTTTTTTTTAAAGGGAGAAAACCCACGACCTTCCGATCCGCAAGGGAGCGTCTAGCCGCTCGGCCACGGCGACTAGCCCTTCCTTTATTTATAATGCTAGAGCTCGGAGGAGCAAATGGGTCCCCACAGTTTGGTGAGAGTGATGCAGCGGAGAACGACGAGGGGATCTGGCCGATACTCGACGCTCCGAGAAAAAGCAAGATGGATGTATAATCAGAAAGCAACTGGCACCATTGGATTGCAACTGTGCTGGCTGCTGAAGATGGAGACGGGGCGCTTATGGGAATGCCCCGGGTGCTGTGATGTCGGTCCTTGAATCAGCTTAACACAAATTTAATGCTACTGTCATTAGCAGGGGCGACGACACCAAGAAAATATTCAGAGGAGGCCTTAGTTTCCTTGAACATTTATAGAGGGGACGCTAAGGGGACTAAGCCTTGTTTAAGTGTGTAATTAAAGTACTAATAATAATAGACTAAGTGGCATATATATATATATATATATATATATATATATATATATATATATATATATATATATATATATATATATATATATATATATATATATATAAAATAGATAAGCAAATACTAAATACTTACGTTCATTTTTCCTTTAAATGCATTACAAATTTTCTCAGGGTGAGAAGGATTAACCCAAAGTTTGATACCTTAACTCTTCTAGCAGGGATCTTCTTGAGATCTAAGCTCCCAGTTCTCAAGTTCCGTGCTCCTGGTTGCTGCTGCTGCTGCTCTGATACTACTACTACTTTTGCTGCTAGGAATAATATTACCGTTGTTATGGAACTTATCGCTTCCATGCCGCACAGTGGTTTCAGCCTTTTTAACGGGGTGCCTCCCATGAATTTATCATTACCGCCCCCCCCCCCTTTTCCCCCTCTTCCCCCACAATGCCCAACCCACTATTTCAAAAATGATTACAAAGAGGACAAACATGTTGATCTCCAGCATATATTGCTGTTGTTGCTGTTGTTGTTACTACTACTACTACTACTACTACTACTACTACTACTACTACTACTACTACTACTACTACTACTACTACTACTACTACTACTACTACTACTATTACTTCTACTACTACTACTACTACTACTACTACTACTACTACTACTACTACTACTACTACTACTACTACTACTACTACTACTACTACTATTACTTCTACTACTGTTATTATTATTATTATTATTACATCATGACTTATTACCTTAGAAATATTTGACAAACTGATTTAATCGTTTTCTTACAGCAAGCTAGAAGTACCATGTATTGGTTTATTTCCTAATACGCGGAATGTAGCTTCTATTGTTGCTGTCTTCAGCTAGTTGCAAATCCTTTACAGGACTTTGCAGAACCAACAAAAAAAATTTTTTTTCTTTGTGGTTGCTTTTGGAGTTTTTCTAGGCAAATTTAGGTTTAGTAGTTTGCCATTGCCACTAAACGGTCGGCTATCGGCACTACTGTAGAAACTATCGCAAGACGCGCTGCCAAATCGCCTGCAGCTGGAATCGAACCCGGCACCCCGGTATCACGAAGCGCGTTCGCAACGCCTAAGCCAGAGAGGTCGACTTCTTGCTGTTACTGGAGCATAAATTACGATTACATAAATGAACACACTGGACAAAATAAAAGTAAAATCAAACAAATAACTACCAACAACTGGAAATTTAGAGCACAAATATCAGTGTCATGGTTGACAGCTTTTTGTCCTGATGATGTTTGCTATTTTTGGCAACAAATCAGACACGCGAAAGATAAAAAGTAGAGATCCGTTTTCACGCCTTCAGGCGTATCGAATATACGGGAAGAGCGCTCATATTTTTACAGACCATCGGCACTAGGTGGGTAATGTGGTCAGCATTACGCCGGCTGTCTTTATTTCCCCATGACAGCCATCCTGGTACCCATTTCAGGCTGTGTCGACCTGCGCAGCAGTGGGTTTTGATCGCGGTACGTTGGAATTACGAAGTGGACTCGAAATGCCTAAGCTACGGACACCGCTCGCGAAAGATGGACCACATAAATATCAAAGACACAGACATTTTTTATTTACAAAGTGAACAGAAGGGCCCGGTCAAGAGATCTCTTCCTGCCCTAACGCTGCAATGTATTCCAGGGGTAGACAAAAGAAGAAGATCAGACAAGGGAAAAGGGAATCTTGAAAATATAAGTATGCAACATTGTTACAAGTGCAAATGCACTTTATACAAAAATTCCTTGACGCCCCATTTAAAACTTTCTTGCGCCCCCTGGGAGACTTTCCTGCGCCCCCCCCCCCTCAAACCCAACTAGGTTTAAAACCACTAACGTAGCAGAATTTGGTCTTATGACGAAACGTTGAGAGCCACTCGGTTGCTTGCCAACTGTTCCGCCTCGTGAACTGCCGTGCCCAGGGTCACCTTGATATCCGGTGTCCACCAATTCTGATGTCGATTTCTGTTGCTTCTTCTTCATCTTTTGCTGTCTCGCTGATACCAAGCTGTAGCCCAGTGTCGTGGTTTTGCTGTCTCACTGATACCAAGCTGTAGCCCAGTGTCGTGGTTTTGCTGTCTCACTGATACCAAGCTGTAGCCCAGTGTCGTTTTTTTTTTTTTTTTGCTGTCTCACTGATACCAAGCTGTAGCCCAGTGTCGTGGTTTTGATGTCTCACTGATACCAAGCTGTAGCCCAGTGTCGTGGTTTTGCTGTCTCACTGATAACAAGCTGTAGCCCAGTGTCGTGGTTTTGATGTCTCACTGATACCAAGCTGTAGCCCACTGTCGTGGTTTTGATGTCTCACTGATACCAAGTTGTAGCCCAGTGTCGTGGTTTTCTGTAACTATCTTACGCTTCAAGTGTGATATGTGTATTAGATTTGTTCATCTTTTTTTGTAGGTTTCAGCTACACCATATTTTTTTTTTTGGTCTTCCTCCGACCTTCCATCCAAAAGTTCTACTGAAAAAGTCTTATATGCAAATTTGCCTGGCTGGATTTTCACTAAATAGCCGAACCATTTTATTCTTTGTCTGTCAGTAGAATTCAGACACAGTCTTACTCGAACTTTCTCTCTAATGCTGATATTCGTAACCCTGTCTCGTCTTGTGTTGTTAGTGATCTTGCGGAGACAGCGTATTCCTAAATAACTAATGTAGTTATTTTCTGTTCTAGTGGCATATTCCCCGTTCACTGCCGATGTCTGATCTTGATCGCTTAAGAGTGGGGATGTAAAGAAAAAGTAAAGATCCATTTTCACTGCTTTAGGCGCATCTGACATAGAAAGAGCATCCCATATTTGTAAAGACCAATCGGCACTAGGTAGGTAATGCGGTCAGCATTACGCCGGCCGTCTTTACTTTCCCAGGACATACATCTTGGTACCCATTTTAAGCTGGGTCGACCTGCGACCACCCATACCGTGATAAAAATCCACGCAGCCAGTAGTGGGTTTCGATGGCGGTACGTATGAATTACGAATCGGACTCGCAACGTCTAAGCTCAGTTCAGTTGTAACTGTTTTCGTTTCTCCTTTTCTGTCTATTTTTAAGTCTGGCATTGATAACATAGGATCCACAAGAAGACTTTGTTATATAGTGTTCTTTCTGGTTTCTGCTGATACATGTTTGTTTCTTAGTATTGGTACCATTTGCCTAACCAGTTGATTTGCTTTGTTATATCTTTAATCTGACAAAAACTGTCAATTACTGCCTTTACTATACGACTTTTGCGATGTAGGCAGGAAGGTCTTTGAGTCTGAGGATTTACGGCCGCATGGCTAGTGCTGTCGCCACGACTGTGCAGGTGAGAATTTTATTTTGCCCCCCCCCCCCCCCCGACAGAAAACATCCCCAGCCTTACAGAGGATTCAAACCCAGGGTTCCCGCTTGAGAGCCCAACGTACTAACCGTTCGACCAGCTGCTATATCAGTCTTGTGTAATCGAATATGTGTTTCAAATTTTTTAAAGAGAACTTCCATGCGTTTTGTGTGTGAGTGGGGGGGGGGGGGGGGCGGCGCTTAGCTATCTTTCAGACTGAGTTCTTGTGGGAATGAAAGTGGCTGAACTCCCAAGTCGCGCACTCGTGATTATTCTCCAGTTGTAAATTGAATGACAAATGAGCTTTAATATGTTACAGAATGGACATACCACTTGACTATCACCATTTAGCCATAGAAGAAGAGAGGGAGAAAGAGGGAGTTCATTTGTGGAGAAATCACTTGAAAAATGAGGATGAAATTGATGATGATGAAATCAGCAAGTTTGGTGAGAATGGATGTAATAATATGCTCTCCTCTATCTCTTTCAATTATATCTCCCCCTCTTTCTATTATCTCGTCTCTCTAATCTCTCTTAACTCTCTCCTATCCTCTAATCTCCAATTTATATTTCATCTCTCTGTGTGTCACATACATACACATATTTCTCTCGTAACTCTTCCATCTTTGTCATCAATCTTTCATCTCTGTCTCACCTCTCTCTCTCTCACTCTCATCTCCCTCACATCTGTCATCTCTCTCACATCTCTCCCTCGTCTCTTTTCGCCTCTCTTTTATCTCTCTCGTCTCTCACATCTTTCTCTCATTTCTTTATCTCTGTCGCGCGCCCACGTGGGTAAATACACTGATATAGTGAGGGTGTGGGTTTGAACCTTAACAATGCCCACCCACGCGAGAAACTGGACTATTATCTAAGCTATGTTGATCCTAGACAGTCCTGGATAGCCAAGAAAACAGCGAGTGGCTCGTTCCATGAAATGAAAGTTGCTGTACTTGTATCCACAGGAGAAAGAGAAGGGATAGATAGATATCTGGATAAACCCACTGTGATATAATCCAGGTGCTCAGTTAACCCCTGCGACTGGTCTCCTCTCCTGGCATTGCTTAAAAGCCCCCATCAAGTGATTTAAATATTTGTTAGCTGAAGTAAACTAATATGCACAAAGACACTTGAACCTAAGTACACAATTTACTCAACTATGTTGTAACAACATCAAAAAGATTTATTTAATAAATCTGACTAAAATAAAATGAACTTGTTTAGGCTAGTAGAGTTGGGATGATGTTATAGATGACATTAAAGTTGTACATAACTTAGCTTCTAGTTTCTAGTAGGAGAATTCACCGTCAGGACAGTTCTCGGCTTGAGACCCTGCCTATCTTTTCCAGTTTGTCGTCCTCACTGCTTTCTGCAGGTCGTTACACTCGACGGTCGGCAAATAATGGATGCCTACTAGTCCCTGCCCAATGTGGGAACTGGAGAATGAAGAAACAAGCGCATATTTGTAGTATCTGCTCTAGATGTACACTAAGCATGTATATTATACTAACATCAAGCATGTTTATTTAAATAAAACATTTCATCTCTCCCTCATGCTCACATTCACTCCTGTCCAATTTGGAAGGGCTTATGTCTCACATTCCAACTGTTACATCTTCTGCCTTCCTCTGCACGTCCTGTAATGATAGTCAAGTCTTCTACGTCAGGTCCCATCTCTCGTACAGACTCAAAATGACAATCAGACAGAACCAGTTCTGGAATCTATGCTTGGAACAATCGACGCGCCCAGAATGCTAACAATAGTTCTGGGGCGAATCAAATAACAAATCTCGTGGATTTACTCTCCGGGATCAATCTCCGCATTAGCCTCCCGAGAGTTAAACACATTTCAGTGTGTAAGCTGTATGTAATACAGATTCACATTAACCACACGTGAAAAGATTGCCAGAGTTATCTTCACGCTTGTGATTTCAAAAACATGATAGTTCATTAAATTTCAATGGCAACAACAACATTTAGGTTTTACAACATTGAAACACATGTGCACGAAAAAACATTCATGACACTATCAAATAGGATATAAAGCAATGTGACAGTGCCCTACGAGAATGAAGAAATGTCCGCCTAGGAGTACTACAAAGTGATGAAGACACACTTGAGCAAAAACAGTTAGATTTCTATCACAAAATATAGATTTGAACCTAATTTCGATCTTACCTGGAAAATGATACCACAATGCCAAAAGTTCTGTCTCAAGCTTAGGTTAAGCCCAACAGATGGCATGTGCTTGACAGCGTCTCATTTACCAGACCTAGAGTTCACCCCTTTATAACTTTTATTAAGCTCCTCCTTCATTACGCCTAAAATCATTCTCATTCAAGGATGTCACAGCTCCTCTCTTGTGGGTAAGTTTATTCGCTGTCAGTCAGGGCTGTACAACACTTGTTTAAATTCCCACGCTCACATTCTACAGGTTCAATTAAGCTGGTCAAAGCTAATAGGCCAAGTCACACCTCCAGTCTACTTCACCTGTCATCACAATAACATCCGACTTTGTCAATTCTTCTGCCAACACTTTCAGCTCACTGTGTCAATATTGACGATCTGACCGGCACTCCAGTTTAGGTAACCTCAGGGGGAGATAATGGCAATTAGCCCTTGTTATCTGTTCCTGAAGGTCTGACTAGGAGATAAATATCTGACACCAACAAATTGTGTGCAAATCTCCAGTCAGTAAGTCTGCTTGGTCAGTCTTATCTCTGTACCTTAACACTTAACATCTGGGAAAAAGTTTTAGTGTTTGATATGACCAACATTCCAGGAGAATTAAAGGTTTGATGTGGTCGTCTTACTTAGATTAAGGATGTTTCCAAAACCATTTATTTCGGTATACTTCGAAACACAAAGGAATAAAAGTAGGTTAAGGAAAGACATTCTGGAGTCACCGAGCGTATTGTCACAATCTCTATCGTGTATATTTTATATTTTCTGTCCTTTATATTTCATCACATATATTCCACAGTATATATTTCCACTTCTCTATCTTCTCATCTCTCTATCTCTTTCTCTCTCTCTCTCTCTCTCTCTCTCTCTCTCTCTCTCTCTCTCTCTCTCTCTCTCTCTCTCTCTCTCTGTGTCTCAGTTTCTCATATATTCTTTTCTCTTTATAGTTCATTCTAAATATTGCTAATGTTTATATGTTTCTTTTGTTCTATTAAATATGTTCCAAAATTATTTGTCAACATTATTATTATTATTTAGTTTTGTTGCTGCTAACTTTTATGTCATTAAATTCCCAAATTTCTTTCTAATTTTATGCACCCATTTTATATAATAATTCCCGTCCCAATATAGGACGACATTTTTTTAAAATTATTTTAATTTAAAGCTCCCATCCTGGCTGTCGCTGGGGCCTTAAATATAACCTACGGGTTAAATAGGGTGTCTGGGACTTGCGCGCGGGTGATTCTCATCCGAATGATGGCACTTTGTGTCACCGGGTGTTTATCACTTGGTGTGGTGGGGTGAAATGTCAGTCAGTCACACCATTTTATAAATTAAAGAGGAAAATTTTTACGCAAATCGTCTAGAAGCAGAAGAAGAAGAAGAAGAAGAAGAAGAAGAACAAGAAGAAGAAGAAGAAGAAGAAGAAGAAGAAGAAGAAGAAGAAGAAGAAGAAGAAGAAGAAGAAGAACAAGAAGAAGAAGAAGAAGAAGAAGAAGAAGAAGAAGAAGAAGAAGAAGAAGAAGAAGAAGAAGAAGAAGAAGAAGAAAAAGAAGAAGAAAAAGAAGAAGAAGAAGAAGAAAAAGAAGAAGAAGAAGAAAAGAAGAAGCAACTGCAGCAGCAGCAGCAGCAGCAGAAGAAGAAGAAGAAGAAGAAGAAGAAGAAGAAGAAGAAGAAGAAGAAGAAGAAGAAGAAGAAGAAGAAGAAGAAGAAGAAGAAGAAGAAGAAGAAGAAGAAGAAGAAGAAGAAGAAGAAGAAGAAGCAGCAGCAGCAGAAGAATAAGAAGAGAAAGAAGAAGAAGAAGAAGAAGAAGAAGAAGAAGAAGAAGAAGAAGAAGAAGAAGAAGAAGAAGAAGAAGAAAGAAGAAGAAGAAGAAGAAAAGAAGAAGAAGCAGCAGGAGCAAAAGAAGAAAGAAAGAAGAAGAAGAAGAAGAAGAAGAAGAAGAAGAAGAAGAAGAAGAAGAAGAAGAAGAAGAAGAAGAAGAAGAAGAAGAAGAAGAAGAAGAAGAAGAAAAAGAAGAAGAAAAGAAGAAGAAGCAGCAGGAGCAAAAGAAGAAGAAGAAGAAGAAGAAGAAGAAGAAGAAGAAGAAGAAGAAGAAGAAGAAGAAGAAGAAGAAGAAGAAGAAGAAGAAGAAGAAGAACAACAACAACAACAACAACAACAACAACAACAACAACAACAACTACTACTACTACTACTACTACAACAACAACAACTACTACTACAACAACAACAACAACAACAACAACAACAACAACAACAACAACAACAACAACAACAACTACAACAACAACAACAAGGTAATGTTGGGTATTTTCACCCTGATGGAGACGGTGTCGACTCGTAACGTCTATGTCATCTTAGAGTGCCAGTAAAATCAGCCAATAGACTACACCCCCCTAGACTACGAGTCAAAGGTCAAAAGACGGCTATTGCAAACAACAACAACAACAACAAGACGTCGAATACAAATACTGTACTCCAGATGAGCAGCAGACACAAAAAGGTCCTATTCTTTCCTGATTTACTTATAACAATCCACAGCTCAAACTTACGCAGCAGCTATCACCTCTAGTGTGCAGGCGACTGCTGGTGACGTCAGTGGCAGCCATGTTGGGGGCGCCACTGTCCCGGACTACGATTCTGACGAGAACGATCCAGATTATGATGAAGGTCAGTAACTCTGATTGTGCCAGGCTTGTCTTCATGAGTGTCTGCGTTTGTGGCTTAAGCTTTGCAAACCGCTTCGTAATGCTGGAGTGCCGGGTTCCATCCCAGCTGCGGGCCTTGGTTCCAACAGTGGTATCGAGAAGCCGACCGCCCAGAAGCAATGGGAAACTACTTGACGGAAATTTGCCTATTAAAAAAAAAAAAACACAACAGCCAACAAAAAAAAATGCTGGGATTGGTTCTGAGATTTCCTGTAAAAGATACGCAACTAATTTTAACTTGATGAATACTTTTAGATGTATTGTTTGGTACTGCAGCAGATCCCCAACATTTTCTGCTTCTTGTCCCGACAGAGCCAGACTATGATGAAGGACGATAACTTCGTTTACTCTGATTATGCCAGGCATATCTTGGTGAATACTTTTAGGTGTATTGGTTGGCACTGCAATGGATCTCTAACAATTTCTGTTTCAGTCAGTGATTGTAACTGACTCACAGAGCCTGTTGAGAAAGGTAAAAACAGACATGCTTCATGCAGAGTGGCAAGCATCAATTGAGAGGTCCCGGGTGGTTAGCATCCTTTGGATATTTTCTCCAGCCTATGCCGGTGTGTTGGGAAATGAGCAGACGGATAGACTGATCAGCTCTGCACTACTAAGTGGTGAATTGATGTATGACAAGCTAGATATTGTAAGGGCCCTTTGGGAGCGAGTGAACAGAGCGGAGGCGCAGACTGTTGTGTGCAATATATGAGTATATGAAAGGGAAGTTCATTATTGAAAGTAAACACTTGGTGCTGTGCAGGACACATTGATCGCAATGTGAAGAGAGAGAAAAACGGTTGGCTCCAAGTCCCCGGAGAGGAAGGATGCGGTGATGTAGGTTCTAGTCTGGGTGTTGCCAGACTAGTCCTGCACACCAGCATGTTACGCTGGCGTTAGGCATACAGGCTATCGGCGAGAGATGCCGCAGAGGCCGGGCCAGCGTGACAGAAGCTTGTGTGGTGAGATGGGAGATCTCAAGTACGTGTCAGGCCGCAGACGGAAGGTCTGGATAATCTTCACAAGGTATTGTGCATCGGCCTGTATGATCTTTCTAGTGACAGTGTACCCAAGGGATGGGTGTCATAGAGACAGACACGTACTCACGAGCAGTGGGTTTGCACGAGCAGGTAATGTTTGCTCGTTGTTAACCACGGAACAGGGTGGCAGTAGAAGTAGCCCAGAGCGTCCGGAGTGTGTGTTGCCTTGCCAGTAGGAATGACTGTGGCAGTATAGAAATGCATGTGGATTCATTGTTTTGGTTTTGAAATACATTAATTATATTTTGACGTTCAACATGTATCCGGCGTCCTTTATTGCTGTTGGGCAATACACGTACACACACACGTACATATATATACTAACACACACGTACATATATGTATACATTTATATACACACACACGCACACACACACGTACATATATATATATATATATATATATATATATATATATATATATATATATATATATATATATATACACACACACACACACTAGGGCTGTACTGAATAGTGATTTTCACTATTCAGCCGAAAACGAATAGCTGGACCAACTATTCGGCCGAATACGAATACGAATAATGTATCATCATTATCATGTGCTTTGCCGATTGGCATGGGCGATTATGCCTCTCCACATTCCGCGATCTCCTGCAGCATGTATTAGTTCGTGTGCCGACACACCTCCATGCCATGCAACAAGACTGTCAAGAATCTTTTCTCGTTGTCTTTCTCTATCCCTCCTTCCACAGATCTTTCCAGTGGTCACCACATGTTCCATTTTCCCTCTTCTCATAAAATGGCCGAAAAATGATGACTGTACCCTTCTGATGTCTGTGAGTAGTTGTCCTCGGGCTCCCGCCTCTTTCAAAACCTCTTGGTTCCCCTCCCCTTCCCCCACCCACCCCCCCCCCCACCCACCCCCCCCCCCCCCCCCCCCCCATCCTAGGTATTTTAAGCATTGTTCTGTAAAACCACATCTCTGAGGCCTCAAGAAATTGTTTGCCCTGGCTACCGATTGTCCAGGACTCACTGCCATATGTCAAAACTGGATGTGTGTAGCAAACGAGAATTCTTTTTCTAACCTTTAATGACAAAAATATATTGCATAAGATGTTCTTTATTTTATAAAATGCAGTTTTTGCCTGTCCTATTCTGTTTCTTATTTCAGTAATGCATCTTTCATCTGATGTTATCCATGTGCCCAGATACTTACATTTCTGTACTTGTCTCAAAATATAACCATTGTCGATTTATTACACATTTAGGAATTATTATTTTCGTTGATACCACCATTACTTTTGTCTTCCCACTATTCAGACTGAGGTCTATTCTTTCGAATAGTGTATAAAATAGATCTAAAAAAAATGTAGGCTGAAATTTTACTTCACAAAATGTAATACAGAATAGTAAACGTTTAAAAACATTTCATGTTTTGCATCCTTCAGTTAGTCAGTCTTGGTAAAAAATACCCAGAAATTAAAGTATTCTTAGTTTTATAACAAGTAAATTGTCACTGACAGCTTAGTTAATCCATGAAAGCGGCATTAGCTTTAAAAAAAATCGTTCCATGTTGTCAGCATTATGGCAGCTTCTCGTCTCACTGAAGGTATATCCAGCTGTACTAAACAGACGTTCACTTGGTACGCTCGTAGGTGGTGCACAAAGATAACGCTTGACAGTATGAACCAAGGTGGGAAATCTTGACATGTTTATTTTTCACCAGTCCAGAAACGTGTGTAAGGTAACCACTATTCGTATTCGGCCCAACCGCAACTATTCGGCCGAATACCTAATAGTTATTACTTCCACTATTCGGCCCCGAAGCGAATATTCGATACAACCCTAATATATATATACACACACACGTATATATATATATATATATATATATATATATATATATATATATATATATATATATATATATATATATATATATACATACTAACACACACACGTACATATATGTATACACATATATATATATATATATATATATATATATATATATATATATATATATATATATATATATATATTTATATATATATATACACACACGCGTATATATATATATATATATATATATATATATATTTATATATATATATATATATATATATATATATATATATATATATATATATATATATATATATATATATATATATATATATATATATATATATAAAATTGTTATTTATTGAGAAAACAAAATCATAAGTCTTCGGGCTTTGCGTTAATCTTTACCGTTTTTTTTAAATCTTTTATGGCTTATAGTTTGCGAGCGCGCTTCAAAATTCTGAGCTGCCAGGCTCGGTCCCAGCGGCGGCCGAATAGGCAGCAGACCGCCTTGAGTTGGTTTCGACAATGGGTGCTATCGAGAGCTGACTATTCATGGAGCAAAGGCAAACTACTGGATGTAATATTGCCTCGTGAAATCACAAATGCCACATTTTTTGGGTACTTTGATTTTACTTCACTCCATGCACTGGACTCCGGAATCCCCGGTAAAGTCCAATATTATAGGGGTGCTGCGTTTAGGGTTAGGTTTGGGTTTAGCATTAGAGTTAGACGGTGCTCATTTCAAACCGTGACATCCCTATGTTATTGGACTTTCCAGGGGATTCCGGGGGTTTCCGCGTTTGGGGCGAGTTAGAACGAAAGTACTATCATTGTTTATTGCTAGGATTGGTTCTGCAACTTGCTGTTAAAGATCCACAACTAACATGTTTCCTGTAAAAATCTGCAGACATGGAAAGAAACATCCAGATCATTAAGGAGGAGACAACCAGGTTCACACTGTATCCTGCTTATTCTGCAGCTGTTTCAGCGGTAACATCAAACATGTCGTAGCATATCCATTGTTACATTATGTTATCCTTGTCTGTTTGTCGATCGATCTATTGGTTTGTCCCCTCCTGTCTGCTACCTAAAGGTTTACCAATCTGAGATTTAATCATCTCAGTCTAGACGATAAATCAACAAGGCAGATCCCAGATTCCCCGAATCAAGCACCAAGGAAGTTATAATCCGGGCACCCATAACTGCTACGTCAGCCTGGTGTACACTGCAGTCTTTTGCGGGTAAGGACCTTCAGTTTGTTTACGCCCCCTTTTCCTCTTTTCCGAGCTGCTAGCTAAAATTTTCTGGCCAGATACAATCTCAAACACTAAACTACTTCAAGTCACAAACCAAGAAACTTTAGAGAGTATGATAACCAAGAGAAGATGGAAACGGCTTGGCCACGTTATGAGAATGAATCCTGATATACCTGCCAAAACAGCTCTCACATGGATACCAGAGGGAAAGAAAAAAAAGGGGCGCCTAAAAACAACATGGAGACGAACGATTGAAAGTGACCTGAGTGTGGCAACTTTGACATCTTTGGAAAACTGCACTGAAGATTGCACAGGACAGTAAAGCATGGAAAGTCCTCTCTGAAGCCTCATGTGCCACTAGGCATAACGAGAACTTATGATGATGATGATTTGACCAAGACCGTCTCGGTCGGACGGAACATGCTGCTGACATCATCAAACCGGGCCAACGATCCGGTCTGGTGACGTCAGCACCATGGCCCGTCAGATGGAGACGGTCTTGATTTGACCATCCCTGTAACTCAAGAATCTCATGCCAATTGAAATAGGTCAAAACCCAGATACCAGGGGTCGCCAAAGACCATCGGAAAGCACATATTCCTTGAGGTTATGAAGTAGTAACGTAAACAATTGTATGCTTTGGGGTCACCACAAGGTTGAAAACTAGTGAAAAGCATGTGAGAGCAGTTCCAGCAAAATCTTGATGCTCACATAGTAAAAACATAAGGCCGCCATCAGAAGTGCCAACACTAACAGTCGCACACCAGAATTGCATTTCATGATGCAGCAGTCAGTTATAAAACCGGCATTGGAAACACAACACAGTACAAGTACACGACATTCCCAGTGCTACCAGTCATGAGCCAGCATTGATGACTTTGAGCATAAAGGTGGTAAATAAGTTTCCATTATGATCCCGGAATTTTGCTTGGCAGTGCGGACAACAAACTGAAGTGACTACAGAGGCGGGATCTGTCAGTGCAGCCTCATCTGCCTGAAAGGCTGATACACCGTGTTTGAGCACTGTACGCCATGCTTGTTTCTAATATAGATAGTAACTTGTTTCATGCTCCCTGCGGGCAGTTGTTTAAAGTTTTGTTGGAGCTGAAATCACCGAGGACACATTACCAACCCAGACCCAATCTCAAGCAATCTGCCTCTGCTGTGCTGAATCAGGACCTCCTGTGCCTCTCCACAAATGTGAGGTCCAGTTGAAGAAGACGGTGTGTGTGTTTTCTCTTCCTTGGCAGTGGTCCTTTTGATCAGTCTAATATTGCAATTTGGAGGATTTTTACACTAATGTGATTCTATGCCGAGTTTTTGGAACTTGAGACCCACACCATGAACTATCAGTCGGTGTGTGTGTGTATGTGTGTAATAACGATAACTTGGTGGAATCAGAAAGTTTGTTGGGTACTCCACATCGCCCAACAGTGTTTTATGAGGCTAACGTAGTGAAGCGATAGCTTAATTCTCCTTTCACACACGATGTCTCTACTTTGCTTCAATACAGAAGCCGCTCTGAAGGCAGCTTTTAGTCATTTCAAATGGCGCACTGAATACTAGATATTGGGAGTACTAGGTATTTCATCATCGTGTAGCAGGTCCTTTGCAGAACGTCGCTTTCATCACGGTCTGCCTGAAAGAAACTCGGTCTCTCGTCAGTTCTCCCGCCTCACGTACTTTCATACTCAATGAGTCCCTTATATCCTGTGCCCATCTTCGTGTTGGTCGGCCCCTGCACCTCCTCCCTGGTACCATGCCTTCTGCTATTATTATTTTTTTCAAATCCGTCGTGGCGCCTGATATGATCAAAATATTTCAGCTTCCGAGAAAGGATGCTGTTTATTAGCCAATCTTACTTGATGTTCACCTCTTTCTTCTTTCTTCTTCTTCGCGTTCACCAGCTGTACACTGGCGAAAAGTTCTGGTTGCTCGTCCACTACTGAACTGCAGTCCCGCTCCAGAACCTGAGTGTTGCGTGTGCATCAGTTTTACAGATCTCATTCTCTTGAATACAGACTGTTGGTTCCTTGCCTCTCCGGCAGATGCACTCCGACTTCAAAGGAAGCTCCCCAATTAGTCGACTCTTACGACATGCTTTTGGGGAGGCAGTGGGTCTATTCTTGTTTTCCCCACAATGGGGACCCGGAACCCACACAGGGGTAACCTCTTTCAAGATATCAGTATTTCTCCTTTATCCCAGATATTCTGAGAATATTTCTATAGCATTTCGGCTCAAAAAGCCCCTATTCTTTTTATTAAAAACGAGGTTGTTTGTTTGTTTTAGTATCCAGAAGCCATGAGTTGGTAACCCTTAGGCTCGGTATTATGGATATCGCAACCTTTCGGCCTTGATTCCATTGTAAATACCGTAAATCTTGGAGAAATGTGGTTTTTCTGCCTACCCCCGGGAGTGAACCCGGACAACAAGAAATTCGTCATCTGGTCACCGCGCAATCCGGTTTAGCCAACTACGCTAGAGAGCCGGGCTTAAAGACTAGGTATATAATGTTATGAAATATGTGTTAATTTGCAGAAATGTATAAATGCTGATATAAGGATGCAACTTGACTTCATTCAGTACGAACAGTGGCTGTCCAACGCTGAGAATACTAAACAGCTCACAGACGATCAGAAGGCTACAATGACGTCACAGCTAGAGCTGTACAAGAGACTTGTTGGCATCTACAAGGAGTGGTCTCAGCAGACGAGGACAGACTTCCCGCGAGAGTCCAGGTTTGGTGAGATCACAACCATCCTGCAGGAAGCAGCTGATTTAGGACAGCCACCACTGAGCGTCTCCATAGTTATTGTAAGTTCTTTGTTGCCAAAGAGTGTTTCAAGCATTACTGGGCGAAAGAGAGAGATATAGAGAGATTCTGCGTTGGCGTGTCTGTGAGAGAGTGTGTGTCTGTGAGAGAGTGTGTGTCTGTGAGTGTGTGTGTCTGTGAGTGTGTGTGTCTGTGAGAGAGTGTGTGTCTGTGAGAGAGTTTTTCAAGCATCACTGGAGGAGAGAGAAATTCTGATTTGGCGTTTATGTGAGAGTATGTCTGTGTGAGAGTGTGTCTGTGTGAGAGTATGTCTGTGAGAGAGTGTTTGTAAGAGAGCGTGTCTGTGAAAGTGTAATTTAGACCTTACTGGACGAGAGAGAGAGAGAGAGAGAGAGAGAGAGAGAGAGAGAGTTTGTTTTGGCATATCTGTGTGAGAGTGTGTCTGTGAGAGAAATAATGCATTACTGGACGAGAGAGAGAGAGTTTCTGTGTTGGCATGTCTGTGTGAGAGTATATCATGCATTACTGGATACCTAATGTTCTGTGCTTCATTATCAACAGGTAGTTTGTCAATGAGTCGGCTCTGTGGCTAAGTCGATGTGAACGCTTCGTAATGCCGGGTTCGATCCCAGCTGCGGGCCATGCGCTTTGCGTTGGTTTCGATAGTGGTATCAAGAGAGCCGACCGTCCAGGAGCAATGGCAAAGCTACTGGACGTAAATTTGCCTAGAAAACCCACACAACAGCCAGGGGCTGTTGGGGTTGGTTCTGCAACGTCCTGTAAAGGATACTCAACTAACCTAAGTTTGTCAATGAAAGATACAGGCTAGACAGACAGACAGACAGACAAACAGAGAGAGAGAGAGAGAGAGAGAGAGAGAGAGAGAGAGAGAGAGAGAGAGAGAGAGAGAGATAGAGAGAGAAGTACAATTTTCTCAGTTATACGTATTCCACAATTAGAATTGTAAATTTCAACGAAAATGGCTCGTATTTAATAATGCTTAATTATATGTTCTCCGCAGGTCGACCCAGCCTAAAATGGGTACCAGGATGGGCTGTCCTGGGAAAGTAAAGACAGCCTGCGTAATGCTGACCACATTACCCACAGAGTGCTGATGGTCTGTAAAAATATGGGACGCTCTGCCCATATGCCCGATGCGCCGAAAGGCGTGAAAAGGGATCTTTTTTTTTTTTTTTTTATATGTTCTCGAAATCGAGGCAGGGGCTGACTTCCTCCAAGTGGGATACAAAACACCGAAATGCAGTGGCTGCGAAAGCACACAGGGCTGGAGAAATGGCTAGACAAAGACATACTTTCAGGAGTGACGAGAGTGATGTTCAGCAAAGAACATGCTGATTGACTGATATATTTATGTAACTGCAGTAACGCAGCTATCGAGATACCCCCTGAAATAACATCATCCCAGGCTTGTGCACTGTGTTTTTTATGTCCCAATGATAAAATGCGATCAGTTTGCATGTGTAAGCGTTAGCAGGTGCCGATTACACTAGATAGGGTATTATATGATAATTTCTTCGTCGCTTCACTGCTGAGAATATGCGTGCGCAGCTTAAATCATAGTACAGTACTAGTCACTGGGAGCTTTTACACTTTAATTTCTGCATAAGTGACGTAAGCATGCAGTGATCATTCTTTTCCCTATTTTTCGGACGAAAACCGTGTGGTACATGCGTAATAATTAGTAAACAGGATAATAAATAGTACAATAATGCATTTGTTTTTGGCAATGGAAAGTGTAAGTGTCAATTACTGCTGTTACATGCACGTTTGGTCATTGTTATGTGTCTGTATTATTTAAATTCTATTACTGTGGCATTTTTTTTTTTTTTTTCGCAGAGGGAAGTCCTGACAGATGAGGAGAATATACAGAAACAAGTGGATGCTTACAACTGCCAGGTTCAGGAGATGCTTGCAGCATTGGACATCAAGTCTAAAGTTTAATTTTTGCACAAATGTTTGCCATTACATGTATAAGGTGTAAGATATGAGCATATATGGAGACAAAAGTGGACAGTTTCAACTGCCAGGTTCAGGAGATGATTGCAGCGTTGGTCATTAAGTGTAAAGTTTAGTTTCCGCATGAACGATTACCATTACTAGGTGTGAGAGATGAGGCATATAGAGACAAAAGTGGACAGTTACAACTGCCAGGTTCAGGAGATGATTGCAGCGTTGGTCATTAAGTGTAAAGTTTAGTTTCCGCATGAACGATTACCATTACTAGGTGTGAGAGATGAGGCATATATATAGACAAAAGTGGACAGTTACAACTGCCAGGTTCAGGAGATGATTGCAGCGTTGGTCATTAAGTGTAAAGTTTAGTTTCCGCATGAACGATTACCATTACTAGGTGTGAGAGATGAGGCATATATAGAGACAAAAGTGGACAGTTACAACTGCCAGGTTCAGGAGATGATTGCAGCGTTGGTCATTAAGTGTAAAGTTTAGTTTCCGCATGAACGATTACCATTACTAGGTGTGAGAGATGAGGCATATATAGAGACAAAAGTGGACAGATACAACTGCCAGGTTCAGGAGATGATTGCAGCGTTGGTCATTAAGTGTAAAGTTTAGTTTCCGCATGAACGATTACCATTACTAGGTGTGAGAGATGAGGCATATAGAGACAAAAGTGGACAGATACAACTGCCAGGTTCAGGAGATGATTGCAGCGTTGGTCATTAAGTGTAAAGTTTAGTTTCCGCATGAATGATTACCATTACTAGGTGTGAGAGATGAGGCATATATAGAGTCAAAAGTGGACAGATACAACTGCCAGGTTCAGGAGATGATTGCAGCGTTGGTCATTAAGTGTAAAGTTTAGTTTCCGCATGAACGATTACCATTACTAGGTGTGAGAGATGAGGCATATATAGACAAAAGTGGACAGATACAACTGCCAGGTTCAGGAGATGATTGCAGCGTTGGTCATTAAGTGTAAAGTTTAGTTTCCGCATGAACGATTACATTATTAGATGTGAGAGATGAGGCATATAGAGACAAAAGTGGACAGTTACAACTGCCAGGTTCAGGAGATGATTGCAGCGTTGGTCATTAAGTGTAAAGTTTAGTTTCCGCATGAACGATTACATTATTAGATGTGAGAGATGAGGCATATAGAGACAAAAGTGGACAGTTACAACTGCCAGGTTCAGGAGATGATTGCAGCGTTGGTCATTAAGTGTAAAGTTTAGTTTCCGCATGAACGATTACCATTACTAGGTGTGAGAGATGAGGCATATATAGACAAAAGTGGACAGATACAACTGCCAGGTTCAGGAGATGATTGCAGCGTTGGTCATTAAGTGTAAAGTTTAGTTTCCGCATGAACGATTACCATTACTAGGTGTGAGAGATGAGGCATATATAGACAAAAGTGGACAGATACAACTGCCAGGTTCAGGAGATGATTGCAGCGTTGGTCATTAAGTGTAAAGTTTAGTTTCTGCATGAACGATTACCATGACTAGGTGTGAGAGATGAGGCATATAGAGACAAAAGTGGACAGTTACAACTGCCAGGTTCAGGAGATGATTGCAGCGTTGGTCATTAAGTGTAAAGTTTAGTTTCCGCATGAACGATTACCATTACTAGGTGTGAGAGATGAGGCATATATATAGACAAAAGTGGACAGATACAACTGCCAGGTTCAGGAGATGATTGCAGCGTTGGTCATTAAGTGTAAAGTTTAGTTTCCGCATGAACGATTACCATTACTAGGTGTGAGAGATGAGGCATATATAGAGACAAAAGTGGACAGATACAACTGCCAGGTTCAGGAGATGATTACAGCGTTGGTCATTAAGTGTAAAGTTTAGTTTCCGCATGAACGATTACCATTACTAGGTGTGAGAGATGAGGCATATATAGACAAAAGTGGACAGATACAACTGCCAGGTTCAGGAGATGATTGCAGCGTTGGTCATTAAGTATAAAGTTTAGTTTCCGCATGAACGATTACCATTACTAGGTGTGAGAGATGAGGCATATATAAAGACAAAAGTGGACAATTACAACGCCAGGTTCAGGAGATGATTGCAGCGTTGGTCATTAAGTGTAAAGTTTAGTTTCCGCATGAACGATTACCATTACTAGGTGTGAGAGATGAGGCATATATAGAGACAAAAGTGGACAGATACAACTGCCAGGTTCAGGAGATGATTGCAGCGTTGGTCATTAAGTGTAAAGTTTAGTTTCTGCATGAACGATTACCATTACTAGGTGTGAGAGATGAGGCATATAGAGACAAAAGTGGACAGTGGACAGATACAACTGCCAGGTTCAGGAGATGATTGCAGCGTTGGTCATTAAGTGTAAAGTTTAGTTTCCGCATGAACGATTACCATTTACTAGGTGTGAGAGATGAGGCATATATAGACAAAAGTGGACAGATACAACTGCCAGGTTCAGGAGATGATTGCAGCGTTGGTCATTAAGTGTAAAGTTTAGTTTTACATTATTAGATGTGAGAGATGAGGCATATAGAGACAAAAGTGGACAGTTACAACTGCCAGGTTCAGGAGATGATTGCAGCGTTGGTCATTAAGTGTAAAGTTTAGTTTCCGCATGAACGATTACATTATTAGATGTGAGAGATGAGGCATATAGAGACAAAAGTGGACAGTTACAACTGCCAGGTTCAGGAGATGATTGCAGCGTTGGTCATTAAGTGTAAAGTTTAGTTTCCGCATGAACGATTACCATTACTAGGTGTGAGAGATGAGGCATATATAGACAAAAGTGGACAGATACAACTGCCAGGTTCAGGAGATGATTGCAGCGTTGGTCATTAAGTGTAAAGTTTAGTTTCCGCATGAACGATTACCATTACTAGGTGTGAGAGATGAGGCATATATAGACAAAAGTGGACAGATACAACTGCCAGGTTCAGGAGATGATTGCAGCGTTGGTCATTAAGTGTAAAGTTTGCATGAACGATTACCATTACTAGGTGTGAGAGATGAGGATTACATACAACTGCATATAGAGATGATGCATATATAAAAGGTTCAGGAGATGATTGCAGCGTTGGTCATTAAGTGTAAAGTTTAGTTTCCGCATGAACGATTACCATTACTAGGTGTGAGAGATGAGGCATATATATAGACAAAAGTGGACAGATACAACTGCCAGGTTCAGGAGATGATTGCAGCGTTGGTCATTAAGTTAAAGTTTAGTTTCCGCATGAACGATTACCATTACTAGTGTGAGAGATCCGACAAAAGTGGACAGATACAACTGCCATCAGGAGATGACCATTAAGTGTAAAGTTTAGTTTCCGCATGAACGATTACCATTACTAGAGATGAGGCATATATAGACAAAAGTGGACAGATACAACTGCCAGGTTCAGGAGATGATTGCAGCGTTGGTCATTAAGTATAAAGTTTAGTTTCCGCATGAACGATTACCATTACTAGGTGTGAGAGATGAGGCATATATAAAGACAAAAGTGGACAATTACAACGCCAGGTTCAGGAGATGATTGCAGCGTTGGTCATTAAGTGTAAAGTTTAGTTTCCGCATGAACGATTACATTATTAGATGTGAGAGATGAGGCATATAGAGACAAAAGTGGACAGATACAACTGCCAGGTTCAGGAGATGATTGCAGCGTTGGTCATTAAGTGTAAAGTTTAGTTTCCGCATGAACGATTACCATGACTAGATGTGAGAGATGAGGCATATATAAAGACAAAAGTGGACAGATACAACTGCCAGGTTCAGGAGATGATTGCAGCGTTGGTCATTAAGTGTAAAGTTTAGTTTCCGCATGAACGATTACCATTACTAGGTGTGAGAGATGAGGCATATAGAGACAAAAGTGGACAGATACAACTGCCAGGTTCAGATGAGGCTTGCAGTATTTAACACCCAGTCTAAAGTTTAGTTTTCTCGTGAATTATCACAATTGTTCATTTCAAGAAAAGATTGCAGCAGTGTTAAACATCCCGTTTAAAGTTTAAACGATTAGAATTATTAGATGTAAGCGATGAGGAGTATGTAGAGACAACAGCTGACAGATACAACTGCCAGGTTCAGGAGATGATTGCAGCGTTGGTCATTAAGTGTAAAGTTTAGTTTCCGCATGAACGATTACCATGACTAGATGTGAGAGATGAGGCATATATAAAGACAAAAGTGGACAGATACAACTGCCAGGTTCAGGAGATGATTGCAGCGTTGGTCATTAAGTGTAAAGTTTAGTTTCCGCATGAACGATTACATTATTAGATGTGAGAGATGAGGCATATAGAGTCAAAAGTGGACAGATACAACTGCCAGGTTCAGGAGATGATTGCAGCGTTGGTCATTAAGTGTAAAGTTTAGTTTCCGCATGAACGATTACCATTACTAGGTGTGAGAGATGAGGCATATAGAGACAAAAGTGGACAGATACAACTGCCAGGTTCAGATGAGGCTTGCAGTATTTAACACCCAGTCTAAAGTTTAGTTTTCTCGTGAATTATCACAATTGTTCATTTCAAGAAAAGATTGCAGCAGTGTTAAACATCCCGTTTAAAGTTTAAACGATTAGAATTATTAGATGTAAGCGATGAGGAGTATGTAGAGACAACAGCTGACAGATACAACTGTCAGGTTCAAGTATTGCTGCTGTTATCAGGTGTGAAAGATAATTTTTTTGTGAGTTTCTTTTCCTTAGCGTTCACCAGCTGTAAACGCCAGGGGAATATTCGGATTGTTCGTCCACTTCTGGACTTTAGTCATGTTCCAGAGCTTGATTTTTGTGTGTGCACATCCACTTTACTGATCTCGCTTGTTTGTATGCAGAAAAATGGTTCCTTGCATTTTGGACAGATGCTCTGATTTTGAAGGAGACATCCTTAATTAGTAACCTCCTATGACATGCTTGTAAGGAACAAAAAAAAAAGGGGGGGGCAGCGAATGTATTCTTTGTCTGCCCCACAAAAAGACCTCAG